TTCGGTACTCAACGCGAAATCTCCCCGCGATTTTGTCACACCCGCACCGGAAATGCCCAGCGGTCAGAGCGAGAGGTAAAATGCGGATTACAGAGGGCAAGAGCGGGACGAAATCGTTCAATTTAAGAATTTCCTTTATGATACTGTCGTTACGATTGTTTTTTGGGGCGCTACTCTGGATCTTTTAGCACCTAATTTCACCGAGGGTTATTTAGTTGGTGTTAACGTGAATTTATCAGCGTGTGATGTTATGAATTTGTGGTTTAATCGTAAGTTGTAAATGTAGTAACGAAATAGAAAAAACAAATTGTTTGTCTTGAGATACCGATTTGGATTAATATAAGCTTAGAATGTTAATATGAAAGTACGCGTGATAATTCTGAGCAGATAAAATAATTTTGTAATAATAACATTAGTCAAAGTTTATTTAATGTAATATAAACGGTTAACGAAATACTGTAATTGATATTAAATTGACTATTTGACGTCGAACTGAAATATTATCGCAGACATTTCATTTCATATTGCTTAATAGATTCAATTGTTAAAACTGAAATATTACTAATTTGCTGTTACCAATGATTGTTTATTGTTATCTTGTGTAATTTTGACGTTCGATTCCAATTTAAAACAAAAACCTGGACATGTAATAAATTATAAACTTTCTCATTATTCTTGCTGAATGTTTTCTGGTTTTTGTAATTAGATAGAAATGGACTATTTTATTTTTTTACTTGTGTCAGAGTCAGTTAACAGACATATAAATTAATCCATTTGCTTCCGACTTAAATGTCCTCATAAGATTTAATCGGTCAATGATAGGTGTAAATTAAAGCATCCGTTCCGGGAGTTACAATGTAGAATTTAACGTCGACATTTATTTGGTGCAATTTCGTCTTTGTCTCGTTTGTTTTAGGTCTTGAAATACATTGGGATAATTTTGATTTAGTTTTGCTTCCTTTTATTTTAATTTGGACTTAATGGTGTTTATTTTAAGGTTCAATAATGCGTGCGAGGTGAGATATTTGTGGAAGTCGGCCGAGATCCTGCAGTCGTCTGAAATTTGAGGCGCGCGCGCTTGGGATAGTTAACATGGAGAAAGCTTCGCAATAAAAGGCTAAGGAGATGCGCGTGCGCCACTCTGACCTTCTGAATGTGGCTTTTTGTCCACGCGTCGTGCGATGAAATCCGAAATTGCAACGGTACGGTTGACAAATTAGTTAGATTAGCGAAAATTAGAGAAAAAAAGAAGATAGAGTATAGAGTTTCAGTTTAAATACGGCTACTTCTAGAGATCTAGTGATAATGGCTTGAATTTTGTAGAGCTTCTTCTTCCTATTTGGGTGTGGGTTAAATAGGTGAGAAACAACGTGTTAAATCACCAGGACATTAGAAACTTTAAATATAAATAAACCTTCAGGGCACTAAATTCTGTTCTATTGCTCGATAGAACTATGTCTGAACTCTGAAGCCCATGGCAGCTCAGACAGTCCAATATTTACTAGGATTAAACCACGATAGACTAAAAATAACTCGTACTTTTCCGTTTACAAGTTATAAAATTATTCCGATACCACACTGCCGACGGTACATGAGTCAGCCTGAGTCAGCTTTGCTCAGTATGCTCAGTATATTGAGATTGATGCGGCTGCGTTGTTTTGCTGGCGGTACGCGGTGACAAATAACCTACTTACACTTCGTCCTTTTAACGCCGGAATGTAGACTTGTAGATAGATATAGAGTCTAATTCGGTAACCGTACCGAGAAGTCCTTTTTCATTCAAGATACAAAACTTTTTTTTGTACTCATGTGACCGAGATAGGGTAGCTTAGCAGATACCGTGGGTCTGGAGGGTTCGAAATCTGTAAGTCTAAGTTTATATCCCAGATGTTACATTTAAATTTAAAAAATATGTTTTCGTTTTTCGGATTCTACAAGTAAAAAAAAATATTCTTTTTACTTACTACATTTTGCAAGTAGACCTCCGGCTGTATCAGGAATGATAAAGATGAAAAATAAATGGATTTATTTTCGTTTGATTTAAAATATTTATCTTTGTAAGTAGGGGATTACACGTGATTACTGTTAAATCCATTTAATGAAAAATCTGACCGAAACTATGTGATTTGTCATGTGGATTATGGTGTTACAAAACTTACAAATAACAATGATAACTTCAAGGTTTTGTTTAACACCGATTTAGGGAATAAATAAATCTCTACAATAATTTTAAAAATATTTTTCTGTACACGTCTGTAAAAAATACATAGGTATGCACAAATTGTATGAAAAAAGTTAAAAAGCTTTTTTTGAAGTTATGGTTTTTTTATGCAGAACAGAGCCGGTATTTGACTGCAATCACACCTAATGTTCAGGGAGATGCAGTCTAGAATTGCTTTAACAAACAATAATTAAACAATACTAAACACATTAGTCAGACATCAGTCTATAAATTCACATTATAAACTAAAAAAACTGATGATTTTTTGTCGAATAAAGTGTTAATTGTTGCCAAAACTGAAAGCCAAATTTTTTAGGCAATATTTTTCTTTATTAGCATTAGTGTTACACAAGTGCAAAACTTATTTCTTCTACGCGGGCGAAGTCGCGGGCAAAAATTAATTTTGTTCAAAAAAATAAATCCGTTTCAGATTTAATCCCTGATAATGATTAATGGATAGATACATAGGCTTACAAGAATTAAAACGAATATTGCGTTCGCAATTATCAATCTGAAAGACTTAGGAACCGTTGCGGACAATTTGATACTGATAATGATTTTGTTTTTTCGGACAAACATTTTTTTGTCCAATTACCTAGTATAGATTGATACAGTCTGTATTGTATTGTACACGACACGTATATTTTTTTGGTCATAACTAACACAATAAGATGTCTAATTTCAGTAATTTTAATTTGGATTATTGCTAGGACACAATCGTTCTAAGGAAAGGACATTTTTTTAAATAAAAAAAATCTTTTAGATCGTTCGTCGTAAAAACTTCGTTGACATAATAATATGCGTGTTCCATTTTCCGTTGATATCGCCTTCCTGTAGTGGAAACTAATTGAACTGATGATGATTAAGTTAATTAAAAATGCTTGAAAATCGCGCTCGCGGTGATTCGAGTGAATTGATTTTTCATTGATAAATACTCAAGTTTATCAAACAATACAAAAAAATCCGATATCCAAACGCATACCAATGCAGCACAAAGTATCCCCCTTCATTTTGAGCGAATTTCCACAAAACTGCAGCCCGAAGAAAATCTAATCCTAAACGAGGGGACGTATTCAGATTTGCAAATATCGGGATTCGAGACTTACACGACCCGGGGGCCACCCTCCGGGGTTGTTGACCTTTCCAGGGGCTTGGGAGGCTGTATGTTTAGACTACGGATTTGAATTTGATGGAAGAGAGACTATATTTACTGGAGCTTGGAAAATAACAGGTTTTATTCCGTGTTATTGAAGCAAAGATACTTTACTTACTAATATTATAAAGCTGAAGAGTTTGTTTGTTTGAACGCGCTAATCTTAGGAACTACTGGTCCGATTTGAAAAAATCTAATTGTGTTTATTGAGGAAGGCTTAAGCTACATAACATCACCCTACAGCCAATAGGGGCGGAGTAGTAAAGAAAAATGTTGCATAAACGGGAAATATTATTCCAACTTTTTCACGCGTACGAAGTCCCGGGCACAGCTAGTTTTCGATTCAAAATGGGGGGATTAGTTATTTTTATATTGTACAAAGATATACAAAGTTACAAACGCGTCTTTGTTGGCACTACCGTGGGAGGTCACCTAATCGGATCATGAAAATTCTTTCACTCAAAAGTAAGCTCCACTTTTATGGCGTTTTCCTGGAAAATAAGGAATATAGGGACGTGTGATGTTTCTTTGATATCATGTGTTATAAATAGTCCTTTCTTCGTCGTTTCGACGTATCTAAATACTTTAGTACATTTTCATATTTCTCTGAATTATGTGAAAATTCATACAATATGTAAAATCCATTCAAAAACTATTTTTGTTTTTCTAAAATTATTCTGTACGAAGATTCTGTAAGCCCTGAGAAAAATTTACACTTGCCTATTTTGTTTTGTAAAACATTCTACCTGACGTTTTTATAAAACACGTCATGTTTGTCTTATGTAGCAAAAGTGTCACTAACACCTTGTTTCCTAGTCACTTTTGTGGTATCATTGCTTAAAAGTTGAGTTATATTAATAAGCAAGCATCCTTTTTGGGACACTTTTAAAATCGTGTCTCACATCTCTAGCGGTTTTCTTCAAAAACTCCTTTACACATTTTGTAACATCTGTAGCACTGGCCTAAGTATAAAAGTCCATAAAAATAAAGAGAAAATAAACCATTTTAATTGTATCATATCCAGAATTTCTCTACATCCCCTCCCAATGTAGACGGGCTACGGGAACGCCAATTATGTTTTTGACGTACCCAACCTTGCTATATTGGAATACAGCCCGTATGTACAAGGTTTCGGGATTTATGTATAAAATAATTGGATACGTATTCGTTACATGCTTTGTTGGGGATTAGGTAGACAAAGATTTTAATTGGTATTTTAGGGAGTTTAATAAATTGCTCGGGGTTATATTGATTTTGTTGGATTAGTCTATAATGGTATGAAATATGGTTGAGAATACAATAAAAGTCAATAAAATAAATGTGGTTTCGTTTACTTCAAAAGTGACCTAACTCAAAATTCGGCAAAATTGAAAGAGTGAAAACAAAAAGTAAAAAAACAGGGCGCAACTTTTATCGGCAAATGCTTTAAAATACCTACAAGCCTCCGATCGGTTACTTAGCGTAATCGCGGCTAAGAATAATGAATTGAATATAAAGTCACCGATTTATTAATGTCAGTAATCCTGGGTAATTGTAATCATACAGATAACTAAATCGAAAACACGATGAGCGCTCGTGTTTTTACTTTATTGTGATTTATACATACACTAAAATTGGTTCACTGTTGTTGTGATTGTGAGGTTTAAGAATTAGTTAAAAGTTTCAGTCATAAAAAATATGATAATAGGTTTTGAAAGTATAGTAAGTATTGTTGATATTAAATTTTCTTTCCTCTGGAACTGTCGAATATACTGTTTTTAATTCAACCACTTGGTTCATTTAATTTTATAACTCATCATAGTCTGACACTCATTTGTTTCATTTCAAACAAAAAAATTCTTTTATGAAAAAAGTGTCCCAACTCAAATTTGTACAAAAACCGCTCCGGGCTATAACTAGCGGGCGGTAAGCATGTAATGTCGTCATAACGCGGACCCTCGTTAGGCGGTTCCGCCCCGTGTCCGGAGTGTCCGGATCGGACGCGTCCGGAAACCGGTAAGGATCTAATAGCGCGGCGAAAGGTTTTTTCTACATTTATTGTGTGATGTGAATTATGATAATGCATTGTGGAAAATTTAAAATGTAAAATTATTAGTTTGCGTTTCATATGTGTTTTTTGGTTATTTCCTTCACAATCAGTGAGCCAGTATCAATCTCTATTATGTATGTTTAGTTAAACGCATGTAGAAGCAGCCTACTCCATTTTATTTTTAAAAGACAGAGCCCTCTTTTAAACATGGCCGCACTTCCGCTCAAAGAGCTAATCTGCATTAGCGCCTGCACAAAAGCCTCTCGTAAATAAAAGTGAAATTCTAAAGCGCGTGAAAACATCTTCAGGCCTTAAGTTCAGAAGTCACGACGCCACTGTTCCATATTTAAAAGAATGCTGAAACTAGACCAAAACTTCCAAGGTCGTAGAACGCAGCCGCGGACCTCCTACGCCACCCTCCCACGCACACACTCACCCACATGGTCGCCATGGCAACGCAGCATCCTAGCTTCCACGCCCCCTCCCGGGGGCGAACTCTCAAGATATTACGCCCTACTTCGTCCGCATTGGCGAACCAAAGGGGTGGAAGCGAGAGCTTAGTGTGCGTGCGTTTTAGGCTACAACGGAATTCCAATTTAGCGATCGACTGTCAAAATTGGAAAAAACTTAAAGCAGTTAGCGAATGCAAACTTGGAGTGCGCCATTCGCAACATTCAGCCGGCCGCTCGTTAACAAACCCATTCAATTCTGAAGTATTAGTCGATTGAGGGAGCTCTCGCGTCCTATCGCCGCGAGTTCCAATTAGCGACTGGGGTTGTCGCTTGAGTGGCGTGACGTCACGCTTTCATGCCGCAATAACTACCCACTTGGCGGTTCCTTCAATGGCCGCCACTCCACCTGGGCCTTCATTACGACTTCTCAATGTACATGCAAACCCTGAAAAGGCGAATCTACTAATTTAAAAACGCAACTTTTAACGAGTAAACTTGTTTAGCTAATAACCCTTCTAGTTTTAATAGCGAACTAATTGCGTGATTTAATTTTTGAAATTATTACGAGCTGTCAGTGGGACAAAGCGCGCGCGGGCCTCTTTTGTTTTTGCCGTCGCCATAGACAAATCTTATTATGGAAATATTTTCAAATTAAGACTCGCTGCTCCCGCATTATGTGTCTCGGCTGCCGTCATTGTCTATGGGCTCTTTTTGTTCGTCCTCGCATGTCGAGCTTTTTCGACCACCGTTTTGGTTATTTTTTCTCTTATTGTTTTTTTAAGCTGTCCCGAGCGTGAATGGAGGGCTTTGTTTGTGCGTGTTTTATTATTAATTAGTGGGCCTCTTTGTTCGTGGTAATTATTGTCTTAATAAGCAGTTCCTGCTCTTCGAAATATGGACGAGTGGTGAAGGAATTGTCAGCTCCTTTCGTTTCTGAATAGTTTGAAATGATGCGGGGATTTTAAAACTGGTTCGTGGTACGCTCTCATTGTTGTTCGAAGTAGTTCAAAGCTAGTTATGTTGTGGCTTACTTACTTCAGTTACCATTGGTATTGTGATTTTAAGTAGCTATAAGTAATTAGATGTAATAAATAATGCATAGTCTAGTAGTTATTTATTTGAAGTTATATGACGAATTTGTTTATTCTAAAAATAAATTTACTACCGTTTAGAAGTTTTTGAACAGTTTGTCTTATGATAGACACGACATGCAAACTAAATTTTATTTGATTAACATCTTAGGAAAACTACAAAAAAGTTATACTGTAACATTAATGTAGCTCCGCCCTAACCCGCAGATTATAATTAAAAAATACTATTAAACGACACGAACATTGCGCGATACTGGCGTTTATTTCGCATAATAAAGTGCTGAAAAGAAGTCCCGTTTAATTAGAGGTGAGACACTCGGCTCGGAAGTGCGGCGCGCCTGAATAGCCCTGCCCCACGTTGGGCGCCATTTTGCATAATTGGCGACGAGGAGCGCGGCACAAAATTTATACGACCCAGCCGCCAATTTACTTGCTAATGACGCGTTGTCTTCCCGTCGACTAGTTGGGCTTTCGGCTTTTTTCGGCTCTTTTCTTTCGGCACTGTTTACTTTACTCATTGTTAGATTTTGAGAGTGAGTTATGCGAATGTTTTTAGCTGGTTTTTTCAGCTCTAGGATGTTTGTCTAGAGGTTTTTATCTCAGATGCATTTACACATTCTGCGCACTTTTATGATTTTTACTGAAATTTTTTTTTGCTTTGAAATAACTAATATTTGCCCTTTTCTTTGTTACAGGCGGGAAAGATGGGTCTTCCAGCCGGTGGTAGCCTGTCGCTGTTCTGTCCCGGTGGAGACCTAGGTCAGCCACCTCCAGCCCACATGGGCATCCCCCCGCCTTACCAGCTCGACTCTAAGCTCGGTAAGTTTTTATTGATATTATTAATTATTGACATGTAGTAATAGAGCCATCAGGCACCAATAGCGACTCATAAAGTCAGACACCTATGGCTGTGACCTCAATTGTTATAATTCACAGGATAGAGAAAATTACCAAGTATTAAAAAAGTTTTGTAAATCCCATAAAGTCTTAATTGTACGAATATTATGAATAAGATATTAAGGATTAAGAAAAGTAACTACTTCTCTCCTCTCTATATGTAAGAAATCTACAAAGATCAGTTCAGATGTCTTTTCTTAATTGTTAGCCTTTACAGCACTTCAGCCAGCAATTATTACATGCTTTATTTTGTATTTATCACATATCAATGTCGCTTAATAGAAAACAGTTTTGTTTTAATATTTATTTAGGTTTCCTGTGTTTATGTATGTACATTTTAATGAACCTTTTATTTCTCCAGCTGCTGGGCTGGCGCGGACCCCAATGTACCCTTTTCCCGGGGGCACGTACCCTTACCCCATGCTCAGTCCGGAGATGTCACAAGTAGCAGCCTCGTGGTAAGTCTCAATACTCAGTACTCCATATGTTTATTGCTTCCTTAATAGTACATAATCTCTATATCTTTCTTTCTTTATTCAAAGTATAAATAATTTCTTGAATATTACTTTACCCAACGGATTGGTATCTTTTAACTTAGGGAGACTGCTGATAGCCAAACAACTTGTATATCATAGACCAAGTATGACAGATGTGCTGGCGGATACACAGTAGAGTTAACAGCTCACCAGATCGTTTTGGTTGCAAATCTGACCTTCTACAACTACATAAGATGTCACAGTATCAGTTTAATGTGCCATTTACATTGAAAACGATCGTCTATCTCTTTTATCAAACTTTTTTTGCAAAATGGCATCTATTACCACTGCAAAAGATACCACATTGTGTAGTTTGATGTGCTGCTGTATAAATAATATGTATACTTAAAATGTGTCTGTTTGTCCAGGCATACTCCGAGCATGTACCCCATATCTTCGGCGGCCAGCGGCTTCCGGAGTCCATACCCCACCTCGCTGCCAATCCCAAGTTCTAGTCTGTCGAGGTATGTATCTAAATATCTTTAAAATAGTATAATATCGTGAATTAGTTGGTCTAAGCACTCAGAGATATTTAAACAAAAGCATCAGGAAAAACATCAATTTTCTTCGTGACGAGACGAAAATATAACCGTATAATACAGTAGTTTACAGCTTAAATTGAGAAATTAGATTTTTAATTATTTACGCCATGATTTAAATAATTATACATACATATTTGGTTCGTACTTCGTACACACAATGCTAATTTGCCTCTTTCTGGAAAAAAAAATAAAAATATTTACTTCATAAAAATATACAATAATGCTAATTTATTATGCTAGTTTACCACTCTGAGTGCCACAGTCTGACGCGCAAGTGTAAAAATGTCCCAACTCAGTTTTTGTGATTTTAGCGAACTATACCGGTTCTCGCCGACACTGGGTGGCGGCCTGGGACTGGGCTTAGGCCCAGCGCTGGTCCCCCCTCCCTCCTCCAAGGCTGACGTCGACTCCTACCAATCACGGTATGCGAGGTAAGTCAAAAATATCCAAGAACTATTAATGTAGCTTTTGCTCTCTTTTGTGAATATCGGTCTATCATAGTATTTATCCTTGAACCGGGATAAAACTGTCCTGTGATTTTCCCTAATTCTTAAACTAACTCTATAACAAATTTAATCTAAATCGGTTCTGTGGTTTAAGCGTGCCGAAGTAAAAAGTATCTATACATCCAACTACACACATTTCCACATTAATAATATTAGTATAATTACTTCTGCTTTTAAACACTACCAAATTTTTTACCAAAATTATAAAACGTCATATTTTATTTTAACTTCAAGGAATAATAACGGCCATAGCTTTTAGCAACCAAACTTAACCTAAAACCCTCTAATTATTTCATTTTACCGAAATAATAAGCACCTTTACACGTATAATGGCTCGTTACAATGTTACTGCTTGCGCACGCGACGTCCATTGTTGTCGGCTACGCCCCCTGGTGGCGATGATCGTATCTCCTCGTGTCCACACCTTAGCTAGTTGGGTCCAGTTTGAACAAGGTGCTCGGTTTGGTCGCGTTGTGTGGGAAAATATACAGAAAGTCACTACAAAGTAGGTGGTAGTAGGTTGTTTCTCTAAAATAACACACTGCGGACTACTGTAGGGCGCCGCAAGTAAGTTTTCATCGCGCCATTCTATCGATCTTACGCGATAAAAAAACGACAAATATATGGTGTCGTTTAAAATTATCGATAAGATTTTATCATGGCGTCGTGTAGCTTAAAGTCGCTCATCATGACGCTCAACACATCTTTGGCTGTTTGCAATGTTGCGCAAGAACTTGTGACGTATTAGATATAAACTGATAACATTACCCCGTTTTGCAATATTGCCAATGTGGATTCACTGTCTATGCTATGCCATAGATGTACATGGGATGGACCATTTTTTGATACTTCCTTCATAGAATGCAAAAAGTTTTAATACCGATAAATATATTAGAATCCAGGAGTTCCACCTGGACTTGGTAGAACCGGGAGATGCACCTGTCATGACTAATCTAAAACATCTAAATATATAAAAGGAGAAACTGACTGACTGACTGACAGATCAACGCACAGCCTAAACGTAGGCACTTGAAATTTGGAAGGGACGTAGCTTAGGTACCGTAGAGGTGCACTAAGAAAGGAATTCCCGAAATTCCCACGGGAACGGGAATTATCGAGAAAAACGGGATTCACGCGTACGAAGTCGCGGGCGGCCGTTAGTTGTCTATAAAAATACAAATGTGACAATAGTAAATTTAAAACTTTGACCAGTAGTCAATTTACATACACGTAGCTGTCAAAACCAAAATAAAATGATTGATATATTTATCTTTGACAAAATCACTGCTGCTACTAAAATGGTAATAAGTAATAATAACCCTCATTATCATGTAAGTAATAACAACTTAGTAAAACGTTTCAATAAACGCGCACGCGCAGCTATTGTTCGGCCACCCTTTACACGGGGTGGGTACATCACTGATCGTATCTTATTTAGGGGTGCGAAAATATCGATAATAGGTGCTAAAAATATCGACATCCGTATCTTAAAACTACATTTGGAAATTATAATATTTTATGTTCAATAAATTAATTATTACTGCACTCTTTGTACCACTGCACTGTTGCACGAACAACATCAAATTTATATTAATCAACTATTGTCTGGTGTTTTATCTACGTATCTCCTAACGGAAGAACTTCAACAACCAAATTTCCAACTCTTCACAAATTCAAAGCATAGATTGAAGCCTACTGTGTTGAATTACAACGACATTAAAATAAAAAAAAGAGTCAATTTTATTTCTTTAGCTCTCCCTCTAATGTCATTATTTATTTTAATTTGTTAATTACAATAATATACATCAAGTGTCTACTGTCATATGAACTTTTGATATTGTAGTATTTCTTTAAAAAAATATAAGCCTTATAATATATGCTGATTCGATAACATTGTCAAATCAAATATCGATATGTTCACATCCCTATTATTAGCCTATCATGATGCTATCACTGTCCCACCCTCCAGATCACAGATAAGGGGGTGGACAGATGTGACACAAAATCGCGTTATGCCTATGTTTTTTAAATGTCAGATTTTAACGGTCTATTTGTTCTAAAATTGAAATTCGAACAACTGGCGACCAACCTGGATTATCGCTAATCCTTTTTTTACTGCCCACGAGAGATTATTTAGGCATAATATACTGTTACTTAAGGTAAAATACCAATATAATATAAAATATTTTTAGGTAGTTCTATCAGTACCAGTATCATTTCGAATATTTCTATACTGAACCGTAATTTAACTATGACATTATGTTATTTGTTTCTGTACTTTTTCGGAAAAATTGACACGCACATGCAATTATGAAAGTCCTCAAAAACGGTGAAAATTCATCAAAATGAACAAGAAAAAAATTCCAATAATCAGGCTGTCACCACAAAAGGCAGATTTCATACGAGCTGACCAAATGTATGCCAGTCTTTAGCCAAGGTCGTTGACCCTGTGGTAGGAGACCCGATTGTGTCCTGAGAATTATGAGTTATGAGTAGTTAATTTAACCCAAAATCATAATAATAAAAATGACAGCGAAATTAATAAAAAAAAATTTTGAAAGACAATTTATCTGAGACACATGGTTTGGACCATTTTATATGTAATGTAATAACTAAATTCATGCCTGGACACTTCATCATCAAATTAGAAGTACCCTCACAAGACAAGTATCACTAAATATAATTTTCATTTTCTTGAAAAATAGTCCTTATTGCAACTAAAATAAGATACCACTGTTTAAATCGATACGCTATCGCTCGTGCCTTCAAATATTTCCAGCAGCGTCATAATATCACATTATTGTCACCAAAACCACATAATAGATAGTAGAACTCAAGTAAAGTGGTTAATGCGTTCCATAACACATACTTGGCATACCTGTCAAGTTAACGAAATGAGTTCTGTGCGTGACTGTACGTAACGAACACGGTTTGACGCGCCGCGGCTGTACCTTGCTCAAAAATACATAATCACTGAGTGTGAAGGTGTGGAGTCAGTAACAGCGAGTGGGATTTTAAGTAAAAAGTTAACCATTACAGCTTTTAATGATATCTATTTATTATAGCTCCATCTATCTAGAGATCTCTATCTATTCTATATTATTTCGTATTCTTCTCTTATTCTTCTATCTTCTCTCTCTATTCTCTATCTATGTAGAGTCGCTAAGAAATTCGACCATTGGATATTTTTTTGCAGTAGCACTTACGTCACAAAATGTCATAATTTTTGCCGACTTGGAAAAAGAAAAATACAATCAAAATACTGAAATTGTTTTTTGTCATTATTAGGTGTTTTTAGTTTAAAATTTTTAAAATTCACTTAACTACGTTAAAATGTGTAGCTTTCTTAGTATTATGGTTCCTATTGGCTTATTTACTGTGCTATAACGATAAAAAAAAATATCTATACCTCCCGCTACAACCAGACCCCCAATTCTCGCCATACATACAAGTCCAGGTACAATCATGTAAATAAGTTGAAGCTGGTGAAATTTAATTAAGACTAGCGGCCGCCCGCGACTTCGTACGCGTGGATCTCGTTTTACCCCCCCTTCATCTATCTTAAGCGGTTCAGATTTTTTCATACAAATGTTTTTTCCCGCTAACTCCCGTTCCCGTGGGAATTTTGCAATATCCTGTTGTAACTAAGCTTTAAGTTTACTAAGGTACCTGCATGCCAAATTTCAAGCGTCTAACTTAAGCGGTTTAGATTTTTCATACAAAAGGATTTTCCCGCTAATTCCCGTTCCCGTGGGAATTCCTAAGTATCCTATAACCTGCCCAGGAGTATGAAGAATAATTGTACCAAGTTTCGTTAAAATCCGTCGAGTAGTTTTTGTTTCTATAAGGAACATACAGACAGACAGACAGACAGACAGACAGACAGACAGACAGACAGACAGACAGACAAAAATTTTACTGATTGCATTTTTGGCATCAGTATCGATCACTAATCACCCCCTGATAGTTATTTTGAAAATATATTTCATGTACAGAATTGACCTCTCTACAGATTTATTATAAGTATAGATGATATATGAGACGCCGGGGTTAACGGGCCCGTGGCGTACTGTCAGCAAAACAGTTACCAGTTTATACATATTTTATTTTGAGATAAAAATCATTTTTGTGCGACACGCACGCGACACGAAAAAGGTATATAGGGTGTTGTCGATTTCGTAATTGCATCATGTATTTTAAAAGATTTTTTTCGGACTTACGAAGACTATTACGGACACCAGGCGACTTATTAATAAGATCTAAAATGTACGAAACTATAACAAAAATCCGAAGCGTTAATACTATCAACTGTATTAAAAATATCACCTATAATTATTACTAGCTTTCCGCCCGCGGCTTCGCCCGCGTGGAATTTTGTCTGTCACAGAAAAACTTTATCGCGCGCGTCCCTGTTTCAAAAACCGGGATAAAAACTATCCTATGTTCTTTCCCGGGACTCAAACTATCTCTATGCCAAATTTCATCAAAATCGGTTGCGAGGTTTAAGCGGGAAAGCGTAACAGACAGACAGACAGACAGACAGACAGACAGACAGACAGACAGACAGACAGACAGACAGAGTTACTTTCGCATTTATAATATTAGTTGGGATAGTTGGGATTTTTACTCATGGGTCTTCTTTCATCGTATAAAATAACTCAGTTTGTAACCTATTGTGTTACTGACACTGAAAGCCAATTTCCTGAATAAACACCCTGTATAAGTAAATATGTGACAAGGTTATATTTTTTCGAATGCGATTAATCGAGTGCCTGTTTTTGGAGTTTGATGAATCTTACTGTCAGTTTGTCTGATTTGTAAAATGTCTGCGAGATTTTATCCTGGACCTGTATGTTTATGACCTCACTATAATCGATAGTGACATAAGCTACCTGTGTATACAGGGTGTTACTTTTATATAAACT